TCGCGTCCTCTCTCTCCTCCTCCGCCTCCGCTTCCTAATCCGCATCCCCTGCGCACTGCGACCTGCGAGCGTGCACCGCAAGGGTACCACAGAGGGGCCGACGCTGCCACGGTACGCCTTCAGGACGCGCTGGTAGCGTGCGGTAGCGAATCAGGTCTCCGTTCTGTTCTCCCTCCTCTTCCTCGTCCTCCTGCCCCTCCGCCTCCTCCACCCCATCCTCCCCATCAGCATGCCCATCCCCGTTTTCCTGCAGCTGCTCGTCTTCCTCCTCCTCATCCTGTTCCTCCTTCTCATCCTCCTCCGCCTCTCAGCGCAACGCTGCGGAACCATAGGCCGAAATAGCGCAGTTAAGAGATCCTATAGGGAGCCATCTGGTTCCCTTGGGGATTCGCCAGGGATCCCAGGGAACCCCCAAGACCCTCTAAGGAATCCTTTAAACCCTCTTTAAGGAATCATCAGGACCCCCCCAGGAATCCTCAGGAAACCCTGGGGTGTATTGAAGAAACTAGGGGATCCTCTGGAAACCCGCGGGAATATTGTGAACCCTTGGGGAATCGTCGGGGATCCCTGGAGGATCCTGAGGACTCCGAAAGGAATCCTCAGAAATCCGCAGGGCGCTCGGTGGACCCCCCAGAATCCACAGGATGCCTTACGGAATCCTTGGGCAACCAGAGGACATCCTACGGAACGCCATACAGAATTACCAGAAATCCCTAAAACGGTACTGAGGAAGCCCTGGGGAGTCCATCAGAATGCTCCCGAATCCTTAAGACACCCTTTCCGCTCATCAAGAACTTGAAGGGAATTACCTGGAACCCCTTGGGCATCCTGAGGATGTGCACAGGGAATCAGCTGGAAACTGAGGAAGAGTCCCCACGAAACTCTCAGGACTGGTAGTCGTGAGGACCCCGAGCAATCTTCGAGGTCCCAAAAAGAAACCTCGGGAATCTCTAGGGAATCCATCGGAGACTCTAAAGTTTCCTCAGAACCCCCGAAAAGGACCCTAAGGAATCCTGGGGAATCACCCCGGAATCTTCGGGAACCCCTCGGAATCCCATGGAATGCTGAGGAATCTCGAAGGAATCCTCAGGAACCCTTCGGGAATCCTCAGGTTGCTGGGTTGCTGGGTTGCTGGGTTGCTGGGTGGAGGCGACCCTCAAACCCGCCTCGTCCAACAACAACAACAACAACAACAACAACAACAACAACAACAAGAACAACGACAACAACAACTACAACTACAACTACAACATCAACAGCAGCTGCAGCAGCAGCAGCAACACCACCACCACCACCAACAACAACAACAACAACCACAGCAAGAGCAACAACAACCACAACCACAACAACAATAACAACAACAACAACAACCACAACAACCACAACCACAACAACAATAACAACAACAACGACGACGACGACGACGGCAACAACAACAACAACAACAACAACAACAACAACAACGACAACCACAACAACAACGACAGCGACAACGACAACGACAACAACAACATCAACAGCAATATCAACAACAACAGCAACAGTAATAACAACGACAACAACCACAACAACAACAACAACATCTGCATACACATTAACTTTGAAAGATCAGCGCGGGTTCATCTCTTCGGTCGGCGCCGGACAGCCCTCCCCTGGCGCGCAGGGCGCGCCAGTGGCGGCGCGGGGAGCGCGGTCAAGGGGGGTCCGGCGCCGATTCGAGAAATCCGTGCGGACCTCTGGAAGTGTATGTTGATCGGCGGTGGACAAAACTCCCTTCAGTAAACCTCCCCTTCGTGAAAACGGCCTGGGACTGGAACCGACGGACCTGAACCCGCAAAAATGAAGGCCGCGACGCCCCCTCGCGAACCGAAAACTGCCAATTCCTGAATCGACGCCGAGTTGAGGGTTTAGGGTTTAGGGTTTAGGGTTTAGGGTTTAGGGTTTAGGGTTTAGGGTTTAGGGTTTAGGGTTTAGGGTTTAGGGTTTAGGGTTTAGGGTTTAGGGCTTAGGGTTTAGGGCTTAGGGTTTAGGGTTTAGGGTTTAGGGTTTAGGGTTTAGGGTTTAGGGTTTAGGGTTTAGGGTTTAGGGCTTAGGGTTTAGGGTTTAGGGTTTAGGGTTTAGGGTAGGAGGTCTGTCCACCCCCGAGTTGATGCCGATGCTTGTTGTCAGACCTGCTGCGAACACCACCACCCCGTCGTCGGCCTCGTCGCTCGGCCTCGTCGTCGCCGTCGTGGTCGTCGTCATCGGCCTAGAGAGGGGAGGAAGGTCATGAGGAGGGCGAGGGAGGGAGGGAAGGGAGGGGAGGGAGGGGAGGAAGGGAGGGAGGGAGGAGAAGGGGGGGGGGAGGGAGGAGGGGGGAGGCCGGAGGGAGCGGAGGGGGGGGGAGGAGGAAGACTAGTCAGGGAGGGAGGGAGGGGAGGGGAGGGGAGGGAGGGAGGAAGAGCAGTCAGGGAGGGAGGGAGGGAGGGGAGGGCATCCGCGAGGGCCGCCCCTGCCCGTCCCGCCGCGGCGCCGCGCGCCGCGCGCTGCGCGCGCGCGCGCTCCGACGGGCCTCACGCGCCGATGGGTGCCCGAATTACGGGGGCGTCGGGTGCCCCTGGGAGGCGCGCGGGGCCGAGGGGGGGGGGCCGCGTTCGAGGTGCCCTCCCTCCTCGCTCCTCCCTTCTCCCTCCTCCCTCCTCCCTCCTCCTCCTCCTCCTCCTCCTCCTCCTCCTCCTCCTCCTCCTCCTCCTCCCCCTCCTCCTCCCCCTCTGGTGGCTTCGCCCGCCGTGCGCCCCCCTTCCCTCGCTCGGGGCGGCACGGCCTCTGCTGTCCCTCGACTCTGTGGGCGCACGCGCGGCATCATAGCATCGATGCATCCGGGGTCACACAGACCGGCGCCGACGCTTCTGGAGTTGTCTGGGTCACCCTCACTGCGCGCATCGCGCCCCGCGGTGCGCGGCACGCGCTTCGCTTCGCGCCCTCGCCCCCTCGCGCCGACCCCTTGGTGAAGGGCAACCACTCTGGCCCAGACTGCGGCGAGCGAAGCGCGATGGGCTTCGCACCCTCGCAGCCGACCAAGATCGTATCTGGCTTAATCACCACCTGTCGATTGCAGAAGACTCGTCAAGCAGTTAGGAATCCTCTCCTCCCCCTCCTCCTCCCTCCTCATCCAACCCTGTCCCTTTCGGATACATCCTCCCTGTCGCACCCCCAGACGTGTCAGCAGGGCAAGGCTGGGCTTTTGCCCTCAGAACACTTCACCATTAGTTACGATCCTCAAGCTTGACAATTGCAATAGTGACACTTATCGAGCACTGACCTCACTCAAAATGGAACTCTCGCATTGGAGCCGAGCGCGTGAAACTTAAACCTTGCAACATGTACAAAGATTGAGCACAGGTGGTTTCAACATCCGCCGACCCTTCGGCGTGTGAGACGCTGTCGCCGTCTTCGTCGTCGTGGTCTTCGTCGTCGTCGCCAGTCGCAACAAGAGAGAAGAAACGACGTAGTCGAGCCGACTCCCTCCCCGTTTCCCCCTCCCTGACTGGGGGGGGCGCAGCAAGGGGGTGCGGCGGGGGCGGCGGGGGGGGGGCCCGGGCCAGGCTACCGCGCACCCCCTGAGGGTCCTGCCGGGCCCTGGGGGTGCTCCCCACGTGGACGGGGAGGAGGGGGGCAAGAGGACACCCCCATCCGGGCGGGTCTCCAGCGGGGGTCCCGGGGGAGGTCCCGCCTGTGGTGGGGGGGATCCCAGGTCAGAACACCGCCCCCCCCCCCCCGATCTCAGCGGGTCCCGGAGGGGGGCGCCAGGTGGAGCCCCAGGGGAGGTCGGTTCAGCCTTCAGGGTCGTCGGCACCGACCGTAAGGCCTTCACCAGAAGGCTCTCGTCCGAACGCCGTGCATACTCGTAGCAAAAAGCTTGCAACCGTCGAGATGGGGGTCTTGCCTCAACGCCGAGCACCATCGAGTGAAGAGCGTTCAACAGCTACCCAGGTGGAGACTGTTTCCTTCTTCACATGAGACCACCGCATTAACGCCGCGAGCACTCCTCGTGAAAGAGTGGAACGTCTACAAGGAAGTGACGGCCTGTTCGAAATGGCGCTCTCGCTCGAGACGTCCTGAAGCTGCAAGCCGAGACATGTCCAGCAGATGCAGCAGCTGCACGGATGGAGGGCGTTTCCTCTTCGAAACGGGGATCTCGCTTGCGACTTCCTCGAGGCTCAACGCGTGCGCAACCTCGTGCAACCTTTTTCAACTACTGGGGGGCATGTGCTGCAAAAGGTCATATCCCTGGACACCTCGCTGCACTGCATCATCATAACTGGTCGGAGTCCTGCTTACGCGCTAGATCGGTGCAAGACGATTCCTTTTCGAAACGGAGCTCTCGCGTGACTGGCAGGACCCTAGGGTGTTGGTCCTTCAAAGGGGCGCTGGCTGCAATGAAGAAGGAAGGCTTGAACGAGGCGTATGAGGAACGGCCTTGGGATGCAAGGGTGGATTGCAGCATCGCTCATGCGTCTCCGCTTACTCTGGCCCTCCGCCTCCGCCAACGCCTTTTCCTCTACCTCCCTGCTCCCTCCTCCTCCCTCCTCCTCCTACCTCCTCCTCATCCTCATCCGTCCTCCACATCCGCATCTATCATCTTCATCATCCTGCTCCACCTCGTCATCCTCCTCCTCCTTGTTCTCCTCCTCCTCCTCCTGCTCCTCCGCCTCCGCCTGCTCCTCCTCCTGCTCCTCCTCATCCTCATCCTCTCGTGAATGGCTGGCTTAACCAGTCCTGCTGTTCCTCGACTCACGCTGTAGCTTCCACGATGTAGCACGATGTGCTTGGACAACTCTGGGATTCAATCTACCTATCTGGCTGTACACCGATATGCATCGATGTCTCCAGATTCTGGCTTGATCCAGGCATGACGATTGGAAACAAATCGTCAAGCCCTCAGGAGTCATCTCCTCGTCCTCCTCCTCCTTCTACTTCAACTCCTCCTCCTCCTCCTCCTCCCCCTTCTCCTCCTCCTCCTCCTCCTCCTACTCCTCCCCCTCATCCTTGTTCTCCTCCTCCTCCTCCTCCTCATCATCATCATCATCCTCCTCCTCCTCCTCATCCTCCTCCTCCTCGTTATCCTCCTCCTCTTCCTCCTGCTCCTCCCCCCTCCTCACCTCGGCATCCGTCCTCGTTCCTCCCCATCCCTCCTCCTCCTCCTCCTCCTCCTCCTCCTCCTCCTCGTCCTCGTCCTCGTCCTCGTCCTCGTCCTCGTCCTCGACCTCCTTCCCCGCATCCTCCTCCGTCGTCACTCCTCCCTCCTCTCTCCTCCGTATCCTCCTCCTCCTGATCTTCCTCCTCCTCCTCATCATCCTGCTCCTGCTCCTGCTCCACCTCCTCTTCCTCCTTCTCCTCCTCATCATCCTCCTGCTCGTCCATCTCGTCCTCGTTCTCTTCCTCCTCCTCGTTCTCCTCGTCGTCCTCCTCCTCCTCCTCACCTCAGCCTCCCTCCTCCTTCCTCCCCATCACTCCTCCTCCTCCTCCTCCTCCTCCTGCCTCCTGAGCTCGCCTCTGACGGGTGGTGGTGGTGGTGCCCCAACGGGTGCCCTCCCACCTCCTGAGCTCGCCTCTGGGCTTCCGCGCAGCGCTTGGGGGACTCTGGTCTTTCACCCAGTCAGAGTTGAAAGGCCATCGACTATCACAGAAGCAGTAGCAGCAGAGGCGGCTCTCTGGAGCCGATGCGGAGAGCGCAACATTTGCGAGTGGAAAAGTGGAGCAAGATCTTGCGCAAGCGCAACCTCAAATGTACAGGATGTGGCAGCAAGGTCGAGCTGTTCCGTCCCAAGCCCAAGGTCCACTTCAGCGACCAGGAGACGCTCGAGGAGGACGTGCGGTTCGACGCGGACAGCGGCAATGAGGCGGAGGGGGTGTGCAAGCCCCTCCCAGCGGGCATCCTTCGCTCGTCGTGGAAGCGCGCGGCCTCACCTGGAGGCAAGCGCGGTGACAAAGGCAAGGGCAGCTCTGTCCAGGAGCTCTTGCAGCAGGCGGTGGCCACAGCGAAGGACCCGCAGCTCCAGGCCGACCTCCAGGCGCAGCTGGGCAAGCTGGGCCAGGGGGGGCCATCCCGCCACGCCGAGGGTGAGCGTGTCGGAGTTCAGGCGGGCTGATGGCGCATGGAGAGATGCAGAGCATCGGCGTCAGCAAGCAGTGGCGACTGTCGTTCGCTTACGCGGCAACCTGACGGCTGCGGAGGCGAAGGAAAAGCCAGCGGCCCTAGCTCTTGCGGAGGCGGCGGACAGCAAGCTCCAGGCAGCCCAGGCAGTCGCCAAGGCGGAGGGAGTGAAGATCGACGACGCCGCCAACGGCAAGAGCGAGGGCAACCAGGACAATCCCATGATCAGCGCGCGGTGGGACGAGTCCTTCTTCGACAGCCTTGACGACTCAGAGGCGACGGAGACGGAGAAGACAGCGCTGGCGGGCCTTCGAGACCAGCTCAAGGGTGTGAAACCTCACCTCCTGGGCAAAGAGACAGAGATCCAGCAGTGGCTGCAGATGGTCCAGGCACATCGGATGGAGATCGAGGGGCGGCTTGCCAAGAAGCGGCGCCAGGCCGTGCCAGACGATCCCACAGGCGCTGCGAGAACGGCAGGCTGGCAGCGCCCCCCGCCAGCCGACGCTCCAGCAACGGCGGCTTCCGCCGCCCCTCCAGCCGCGAGCCCAGAGGCTCAGGCGGCGGAGCGAGGTGATCGCCAGGCCAGGCTGGCCGAGGAGGCAGAGCGGCTGTCGCAGGCCAAGTTCCAGGCGGAGGCGCTGAAGAGCAAGGCCAGCGGCAAGGGCACGGCGGCCACGGCGGCCACGGCAGGCGCGGCGGAGGCGGCGCCTGGCGGAGGCGGCGCTGCTGGCTCGTGACTAGGCTCCGACCGTCGGCACACAGGGCAGGGTGCCGAGCAGGGGGAGAGCGAGGACATTACGAAGCTGTTCTGCGGCAATGTCATCAGTCTCTCTGACAAGACGTGGAAGTTCATCGAATCCAAGTCCATGGCGTACGAGTATTGGGCCCTCGTCGAGACTCATGTGGCCGTGCAGTCTGAGATGCGAGTGGGATGCTAAGAGTTTCAAGTTGGGACTCCGCATGCATCAGAATCCTGCAAGAAGTTCTGGCAAAGTAGTTAGCTCGAAGAAACAAGCCCACTCAAGCGAAGGGGGCGATTTTTTCCTTGCCAAAGCTCATCTCCAAGCGCACACGGTGCAGGAGGTTCGGGCTGCGGATCGCCATTTCAAGTATAGTAGTCAGTCAGCCCTCGATGGGTTCTTACCCATGAAGTTGCATTTTTCAGGTTATTCGATTGTGCTCATTGTGCTCTATGGTCACCCGTCAATTGCATGACCTCCAGGAGTATCAGTCGGTTTCAGCGCATAGGCGCACTTGCCAAGTCTCTCAAGATGCCATGGGTCATGATAGGTGACTTCAATATGGACCCGTCTGTCTTGCGTCGTTCAGAATTCCCACAGCGTTTGGATTCCGTCATTCGCACAGCAGACGTTGAGGGCACTTGTGCGCAAAAAGAGGGTCCAGACACCATGCTCGCTTGTAGATTGTGCTCGCAGACAGCTCTGCCGTTCGTGAAGCATATTGAAGCAGTTCGCGCGGTGCCGTGGCATCCGCATTCGGGGCTTGTGGTCCACTTTCGGAGCTCGGGGGTTTGTCTGCGCACTAGGGCGTTGGAGCTCCCGCGCAAGCTCCCCCGGGCCCCAAAGCCCAAGCAGGACCCCACGCCAGGCTCTAAGTCCAGTCTGGCTCAGACGCAACGGTCACTCGCGCGGGTCGTTTCTCGGGAAAAGCGGTCCGCTTTGTATGGTCCCCTTTTCGGTGATTGCTCCCAGGAGTCTAGGAGTTCTCGACCCATCCCGAGCGGTGATGAAGCTCATGATTGGCCCCTGGAAGTAGGAGAAGATGAGGAGTTGGCTGCCTGGCCCGAGGAGGAGGATCCTTGGGCTGAGGAGCTTAATCTTGCAGGGATAGCTCGCCAGCAACTGCTCTGGAAAATCCGCCGGCCCCTGCCCCGCCCCCGTCGGTCGCCGGTGCGCCCGAAGGCCCTGCAGGCCCGACGTCGGCCTCGGTGGAGCCGTCTCACTTTCACCCTGAGCAGCACAGCAGAGCAGCTACAACCGAAGTCTCACCAGCCAGCGATTCGAACAATAGTCAGATGCAGCGTCCAGCCCTGGAGGCACCTCGACCTGATGGTGCCGAGTTGAATGTCCCCCCCGAGCTTTGGGAAAGGGTCAAGCTCCAGGTGGGATTTGCCCCAGGTGCTTCTCCTGCCTCTTCCGCCCCCCCTCAGCTGCTGAGTTCGGTGGCCTTTAGGCTCAAGCCTCAAGCTAGCTCGACGGTGTCAGGCCTGTACGGTCGGCGCGTTATCCTAAGGAACCCTAAATAAGGAACGAGGCCCCTATTTTCCATAAGTTGAACTTCGAATTCGCATCGAAAACCTAAGGAAAACCTAAGGCAAGCTGCGAAACAATTAAGGAACACGGAGCCCCTCCCCAACGAAAAGGGTTCCTTACTCAAGCCGCTCACTGTACGCGTTATGGGCTGCCGCTGCGGAGTCGGCTATCCTGGAACGCCACGGAAGCAGGCCTCTCCTGGGATCCGTCGCGCAGCGGGCCCCAGGTCGTCCGCGAGAGACCAACGGCAGACCCTTCACCTTCGAGAGCTACCGCTGCGTGACCAAAGTCGGGGAGACGTAAGACTCGGGTACGGGGGACTCGGGTTGGCCCGACGGGGCCATCATAAAAATGATGAGGCCCAATCTGAAATTTGACGCGAGCTCCCGCTGCAGACATCCCACGAAAACTGGACCGCCAAAATCCAGGACGCGCCCGTCAAAAAAGCGTCGGCAAACCCGAGTTCCGGCTTACTCGGGTCTTGCGTTTCCCCGACAGAGGAGTCAGTGGTGGACGAGGCCTCGCACGGTGCTGAGGGGCCTCCACAGGCATAGGGGGCGCGAGAACGGGCCCAAGCAGGTGCGGCAGTTCGAGGAGGCGCGCGCGCGCGCTTGCACGGGGCAAGGCCCGAGGCAGTTCACAGCATCCTCAAGGACGGGCGAGATCCACCGTGAGTGGCTGGAGCTGCTGCAACGACCTCGGGAAATCCGCCTGCCGGTGCCGGCCTCCTTCGTCGACTCGGCGAGGAAGGTCACGGAAAGAGCTCAGCGGGCTGCGCTTCGCGGGTCGCTGGCGGAGTTCAGAGATTGGATTACGGAGCCAACAGCACCAGGGATGTTGCATAAGTCACTGAAGCTGCAACCTCTTCCTCAGCACGAGGTTATTGTTGGCAATTCGGTGTTGTTTCATCCTATTGACGTGATCGATAGCAAGCAGAAGGCGTTCAGGAGTCTTTGGGCACCCAGGAATCAGGACGAGTCGGCCGCGGTTGCGTTGTTTCGGATTATTCGCGAGGAGGCGGCGAACGAGCCACTTCCTCCAATCTCTGGTGACGTCATCTACTGGCGTGCTGCTAAAATGAACAGGAATGCGGGACTGGGGGTGGACTTGTTCACACCCGTGGACTACCAGATGCTCCCTCGGCAGGCGATGAAGGAGCTCGCGCTGGTGCTCCAGGCGGTCGAGTCCACCATGACGTGGCCCGTGCACCTCATGTTGGTGCTCGGCCGTCTTCTGCCCGAGAAGACGGCAGGGGATCGGGCCATCGGCATCATCTCCATGCTGGGGCGGCTGTGGTCCTTGATCGGGGAGCCAGTCGTCAAGGACTGGTCGCGTGCCGATACGGCAGCGTGGGGCGCTGCCATCGAGGGCAACTCGTGCCTGCAGGAGGCCTACCTCAGGGCCATAGACGAGGAGCTGGCTCACACCATGGGCACCTGCTTCGGGCACGCGCTGAGGGACATCCAAGAGTTCTACGGCTCCATTCCCTGGGATGTCCTGGCGCGGGGAGCGCTGCGCATGGGCTTCCCTCCTGTGGTGCTGGGATTGGAGCTCCTCCAGTGCGCGGCGCGCGGGTGCTTGTTTGCTCCAGAAGATTTCCACCTCCTCCAACCTCTCCTCCTCCTCCTCCTCCTCCTCCTCCTCCTCCTCCTCCTCCTCCTCCTCCTCCTCCTCCTCCTCCTCCTCCTCCTCCTCCTCCTCCTCCTCCTCCTCCTCCTCCTCCTCCTCCTCCTCCTCCTCCTCCTCGCCGCCCGGAGAGGCAGGACGGCGCGGCCTCGGAGCCACTCCAGCCGAGCCACAGCGTCGTCCATGGGGCGGAGGACGTACTTTTGTGACGAGGCAGGTCACAAACACACACGGTGAGGAAAAAAACACACAAACACACACACACACACACACACACACACACACTGCGGGAAAAACACACACACACACACACACACACACCGTGTGACAAAAAACAGTGCATGTGTTTCCCCACAGTGTGTGTGTGTGTGTGCGTTCAAGACACACACTGTGGGACTGTGGAAAAAGCACACACAGTGTTTTGTGCTGCTTCCCACTGTGTGTTTTTTGTTTACCACAGTGTGTGTGTGTGTGTGTGTGTGTGTGTGTGTGTGTGTGTGTGTGTGTGTGTGTGTGTGTGTGTGTGTGTGTGTGTGTGTGTGTGTGTGTGTGTGTGTGTGTTTGTGTGTGTGTGTGTGTGTGTGTGTGTGTGTGTGTGTGTGTGTTTTCCCACAGTGTGTGTGTGTGTGTTTGTCCCACAGACTGTGTGTTTTGTGTGTGTTGGTTTCCGCCAGCCCGCACATGGGCCACCGTCTCTGGATTGACGACGTGTCCCAGACGACGGCCGGGTCCAGGCAGGCGGTGCGCAAGAGTTTAGTCAAGTGTATCGTGCACACGGGCAAAGGGCTGGCGCGGAGGAAACTTCGCGTCTCTCCCAAGTCGGGCATGCTCTGCTCTAAGTTCGAGGATGCGGCGGCGGTGGCACGGGCAGTGCGACTCTGAGGCTTCCAGATACAGGCGGCGCGGCAGTCTACATATTTGGGAGTGGATTTCAGTTGCGGGCATCGGGGTCGTCTTATGCGTGTCAAGCGCGACCAGAAGCATAAGCAGAAGAGCAATAAGATTGCTAGGTTTTCGCGTGCTTCAAGGAGATATATATCATCAGACGGCACGGCTCGAGAAAGCTGGCGGCCAGCCAGCTGGCACGTACGGATATCAAGTGCACGGTATGTTCGGGCAGCAGGACACAGAGTGTCGTCGGCGGCTTGGTCAAACTTGTGCCAGCCTTACCAAGGGCCGATGTTTCACAACGCTCTTGGACTTGAGAGCACCAGGCCAAGATCCAGCACTTGTATATCCGCGGCGCGCTATAGATTTATGGTTATATACGTGGCAGTCACGCCCAGACCCTCGACGGAGCATACGACATGCGTGGCCAAAGATCGTGGACAACTTGACGGGCCAAGCTCCTAGAGTACAGGTCAGGCGCGGTCAAGGGCCTATACCTGCGGTCATTAACCAACTTCATCGTTTGCAGTGGCAGCCGGTCGATCCAAACACATGGTCGTTTCAGAGTGAGTGGGGAACCGCAGAGGAATGGCAGTTTCCAGGTGATATGTATACGGGCGTCAAAGCGGTCGACACGCACAGTGGCACCTCGACCGACCTAGTGGCGTCAGC